CCTGCTGTGGTCACCGAGGGCTGCAGCAGTTCTGGCATTTGGCATGGCCCGCTGCGTGGCTGCCACAAGGTGGTAGGGCACAGCAGCTCCCTAACTTTTGGCAAGGGAAAGCCTGTGGGGGAACAGGCATCAGCGTGTGGCACGCAGAGCCAACCCACCTTGTCCCGGCCATATCTCCGGAGCAGCCGGTAGGGCCAGACATAGAGGATCTCATTTGTCCGAGGGTCCTTCAGGACGAGGCTGTCACGCTCTGCCTTGAGCACGTAGGAGCCACGCAGCTCGCATCGCTCCGCCGCCTCGGTCCGTTGCACCGTCACCCAGAAGGCGTTCACTGCGGGGACAGGGATGCTCAGGACAAAGCAGAGGAAGCCACATCCCCAGCTCCAGGCAAGGCCCCAAGCTGCCCACTGGAGCCCTGGCGATGGGGCAGCAGCAGGACAGGTCCCGCAGAAGGTGGCCCAAAGTCAGGGCAGCAGCAGGTCCCACCTTCATCTCTTGAGTAGTAGATGGAGTTCACAGCCATCTCCAGGGCCGGTGCCTCCCCGCTGCCCTCTCTGCCACGCCGGGCTGCCACACCACCATCGCTGGGGCCATTTCCCTGACAAGGAAGAGCGAATCAGCCCCAGCCCCTTCTTCCCACATCAGCCCCTAGTTCCTCTGTCCTCCCAGCCCCACATCGCTAGGCTCCCACCGTTCTCCCAAAGGGGCCTACCTCAGCCCCACAGCTTGACCATCCTGCATCCATACCATGCCCTTCCCTGCCCAGAGCCAGTGACAGACCCCAAGCCACCCCTGCACTGATCTGACATGAACACGGATGAACAGGGCCAGGCAGTGCAGGAGCTCCCAGCACAACCCTGGGCCCCAGCTGGGCTGCGCACTGGACAGGGTGCAGAAAAATACAGTTACTCGCAGCAGCCCTGCCCTCCAGCCCCTGCCACTGGTGCAGCACATGCCAGCACAGAGACACAGCCTCCTGCAGGGCAGCACCTGGGGGTCCCATGTGCCCACTTCCCTGACACTCATCTGACTGCTATGGCAGGACCACGCAGGTGCTCTGGTGCCAAGGCAGAGAACAGCTCTGCTTCCTCAGTGATGGGCTCCAGCGCAGGTGACATCAGTGCCCAAAGCATTGTATGGGCCCAGGCACGCTGTCCCAGCGGTACGAGGGAGGGAGCTGACGGGACAACCCAGTAACACGAGGGTCTATGTCCTGCTTCTGCACAGGCAGGAAAGCGGTGCCAGCACCAGCGCACAGCCCACAGAAGGGAAGCAAGAACTTCTATTTTAGCGCACGCAGAACTGAAAGTGCAACGCACACACTCTTGTCAGCCACCGTGTCCCCGCAGCAGGGTCCCCTGAGGGTCTGGGCGGGGGGATGCACCCTCACTGCTACCACCAAACAGCAAAGATCCTCCTCCAGGGAAGCCCCAGGCAAATCAAAGGCTCACAGATGCCTTGCAAGAGGTGCTTCAGCAGACTCTGCGCTGTTGTGTGAGGGGTCTGTATTTGGACAGGAGCTGGAAGCTGTTTCTCAGGGTCACGTGGGATGGGGTTGCAGCAGAGCTTATGTCTTGCAGAAAGCAAGTTGTCAGTTTCAGTTTAAAACCCAGCCACATGAGCTTCTTAACAAGAGGCAAGGCACAAAAAAAGCCATCAGGCCCTCTTTTTTGCCTCCTAAATAGAATGCGGGCTACTAAAACCTAGTGTCCTTAGAGCTGACAGCAGCAGCTCCTGCTCAGCTAAAGCATCCAACACAGCAGGGTTCCAGCCTGGGACTGGGAAGTAAGTTAAGGGCCAGTTGATCTACCAGAGCCCATTAGGGCTCCATTTGACTGCACTTTCCCTCATCTTCAAAAGAAAAAGAAATTCTGTTCTGAAGTCCTGGCCTCAGTTCCCAAGCCACTGGGCCCTGCTTACCCTCTGGGCAGCAACAAACAACAGGACACAAAATCATGTTCTCCATGCAGATGGCCAGAAATCACATTTTACAGAGAGGCCACGTGCAGCTCCTGTGCCTCTTGCTCCAGCCAGGCCTTTCTAAAACACATGCTGTCCTGCAGCCTTTTGCTCGCCTCTCCCTAAACTGTCAGCTCACTTCTGGACCTCAAGCACACAACTGAGAGCTACTGTGTGACGGCAGGTATGAGTGCAGCCCTGCTCCCAGCAGATGTTCCCCGTGCCTTGCCACTACCCTGCACCACTCCAGAGGCACATGCTGTGTCCCTAGTTCAGCCCTGAAAGCCACTTCCAGGACACAGGCTGCAACGCTGTCTGCACCAGACAGACACGGGCACAGACATGGAGTAATTTCCAGTATCACGTCAGCACCTCTCAGCCTGGTCAGCAGGGCACTTGCTGCACAGACGCATTTGGCTTGACAGCACAACGCAGGGACGCACAACCAGGGACCAAAAAAAAGGCTTAAGGTAAATCACACCGGACAAACACCCGGGCCCTTGTGGGAAGATGCTGGGGTCACCAGCTGTGCAGCCAGCCATCCTGTGGGGCAGCCTGGCCCAGCACTCCAAGCCTGGAATCAGCTACGGCACAATGCAGGGCTGTGCAAACACCTCCCAGGAGGGACAGCAGGAGACATGTAGATGTGGGCTGCCCTCCAGAGCAGTGTGGACGACCGTACTTGAAGGCCACCCACTGTCCAAGCTGCCTTAGCAGGAAGGCATTGCGCTGGCTGACCACTAGCCCCAGTGAAGGCCACAGAGCTGCTGCAGGGGTGCAGGCAGAGGATGGGGAGCTGGAGGGCTGAGCTGCAGGCCCAGCACTGACGGGGTGCTCCCAGCAGCAGGCAGGAGTGAGCCCCAAGGCTGGGTGACGGGGTGCACCAGCCCTACAGCTACTGGTGCTGCCGGCCCAGGAGCCAGGTGGGTCCTGGAGCCAGGCACTGCAATACTCTTGGGGCTCTGCTTCCGCCACTGCTGTGGCAGGAAAAAGGCAGCAGTGGTTTGGCCAAGAGGAAATGCTCCTCAGGCATCACCCAGCCCCCGCAGGGGGCGAGGATGGCTCCACACCGCAGGAGAAGAGCCCAACTTGACATTTGGAGCTTCTACAACTCACCCGGCTGCTGGCACGGCAGGAGGTATCAGGAAGGGACCAGAGCCGCAGGAGCTCTGGCTGCCTAGGACCACTCACATGTGCCTCAGGGTCCCCGTCCCTGTGCCCCCAAGCCGTGTAGGAATGGGTCCCACCACCACCCCACACACGCTCAAAGGTCTGCCCCCCACTCCCTGTGCCCCACACTGGGGCCGGGCAGCCCCAGCCAGGCGCTGGGCAAGATGCCCTGGACGCCCCCTCGGCTCCCCGTGGGGCGGCTCACCGGGAAGGCGATCTCGCAGAGCTTGGCCACCCACTCCTCGCTCTGCTGCTTCTCCGCCGCGAAGAGGTAGCTCTTGTCGCTGGTCTCCAGGCGGAAGACGGCCGTGCCGGCCCGGGGCCCGCTGTCGGCCACGGGTCCCACGCTGGTGCAGTCGGCCAGCCGCACCACCGTCTTGTCCAGCCGCTTGGTGCCCAGCCGCTCGGGCAGCCCCGACGACTCCTTGCAGTCGAAGAACTCCAGGCGGGCGACGCCGTGCTGGCTGGCCGGGTACAGCACGAACCAGCTCCGCTTCCACCTCTGCAAGGCAGCGGGGGGTCACACCGGGCAGCAGGGGGGGGGGGTGAGCGCCCGGGATGTTCCGCCGGGCCGGCAGCTCACCGCGGGTACCCCCCCCACCACCACCAGGCGCCCGGCGAGCCCACAAAGCCCCGGTCCCACTTCCCCAATCGCCGGGCGGCGGCCGCGGCCCGGCAGCGCGCCCAGCCGGGGCGGCGGCGAGCAGCGAGGACGGCGGG